CTAGCTCTCTCTCTTTCTCTTTCTCTCTCTCTCTCTCCCTCTCACTCTCACTCTCGCTCTCACGCTCACTCTCACTCTCTCCCACTCCTTTTTCTTTCTTTCGTATAACTTCGTATAATGTATGCTATACGAAGGTATTACGGTGTGTGTGTGTGTGTGTGTATTTGTGTGTGTATGTATGTGTGTGTGAAGGTGTGTGTGTGTGAATGTGCGTGTGTGTGAATGTGTGTGGGTGTGTGTGAGTGTGTGTGCGTGTGTATGTGTGTGTGTATGTGTGTTTGTGTGTGTGTTTGTGTGTATGTGTTTGTGTATGTGTGTGTGTATGTGCGTCTGTGTGTGTGTGTGTGTAAATGTGTGTCGTATAACTTCGTATAATGTATGCTAACGAAGTTATTACGTGTGTGTGTGTGTGTGTTTGTGTGTGAGTGTGTGTGTGAATGTGTGAGTGTGTGTGTGTATGTGTGTTTGTGTGTGTGTTTGTGTGTATGTGTGTGTGTATGTGCGTCTGTGTGTGTGTGTGTGTAAATGTGTGAGTGCGTGAATGTGTGTGTGTGAATATGTGTGTGTGTGTGAATGTGGGTATGTGTGTGAATGTGTGTGTCTGTGTGAATGTGTGTGTGTAAATGTGTGAGTGCGTGAATGTGTGTGTGTGTGTGTTTGTGGGTGTGTATGTGTGTGTGTGTTTGTGTGTGTGTGTATGTAAATGTTTGTGTGTGTGAGTTCACCTAAGTTGACTTAATCAGTTATCTGTATCTTTAAACAGTACCAAATCAAAAACAGCCTTAACTTTGTATCTACTCAACATCTCAATTACCTTTAATTAAATTTCTTTGGCTATTTTTCCACACACACTTTTGGAACTTTCATATAAAAAATAATGAGAATAACCAAAAGAAAGAGGTCATCACACTGATATTGAGTTGCTGAATATTTTATCATGAAATCTAAATAATAATAATAATAATAATAATAGAAATTAAAAAATAAAATAAAATAAAATAAATAAATAAATAAAATAATAATAATAATAATAATAACAATAACAATACAATGGCAAGAGCTTGATGTAAGCTAGGTATAAAAATATTCCCAACTGGAATCATGACCTGCATTATTTAAAATATCTTTTATCCTGTAGATTTTCACTGAAATCTGTAAATTGTTTTTTATCGCCATAAACCATACATCACTGAGCTTAACTCTGGAAAAAAAATCCAAATATTGTGCAATTTAAATTGCCTAGAAACATGTCAACAATTTACAAAATCTTAAGTCTCAAGACTGAACTGTATATACCATAATATATGATTTATTCAAGGTTTGTTAACTGGCTCATAAAGTGAATCTTCAAGAAAGTGTTCACACTTACACAAACATTGTATTTCATATTACCCTTTGAACATGCATATTAATAGCCATCCCTGATTATCATCACTTTTCAATGAAAACAACTACATTTCTTCCACAGCATATCTGGATAGAAAACTTTTTAAAAATGTCAGTTGCCAAATAATGACTGATAAAATGATGGAGAGTTGCTAATACCTAATTGCTCATTATTCACTATTTTGCTATTCAAACCCCCCACCCTCAAATACTGACTGGATGCTGGAGTGTCTGAACCAACCAATTTTTTTCTCAGGCCAAGATGGTGGCCAAGAACTCTGAACCCCTTACTCTTAAATCAGAAGGTAAACTATACTACTGATGGTGAAAATATCTTCTCATTCATATCTTATTCTCTGTTCAATAACCAACCACTTTCTGTAATTATACTTCTGGTGTCTTGTTCATGTATAATTACCTACACACCCCTAATTCTCTCAAGGTTCACCGATTCCAGAAAAAAAGTAAAATAGAAAATTTTCTTTAAGCTGGCCACCAAATGCTCCATGAGTTTAAAATTATTCATGATTAGTCTTTATACCCATCTGGTATGTAATACAAATCAATCTAATAAGCAGCTAAATTGTTAAACACACTTCCAGAATAAACTATAAACAATGTTATTAACAAATAAATTAAATACCTCTCCAACATACTAATGTTCCGACATAAAATGAAAGAACACAAATTGCAAGCATTAAAAAACTGCAGGACGTCATTAAAATTTTCTTTAGAAATTCAGGACATATTATTCCAAAAGAAATTTTGCATATATTTTGAACTTATATTAACACTGCAGTGTTGACCCACCTTGTTCATCTGCACCTTGACCATAGTACAGCTCTTCCGGGGCTACTTCTCCACTGGGCTGTTCCATTATGCCCGAGTTCTCTGCATATTCCTTGCCCTGAAGTTGAGAAAATCAAATAAATACAGAAAAAAATCTAGCATTAGTTTTTCCATGTGTTCCTGTATGTGTAAGTCCTACATGATACTTAAAAATTCTATTTACATTCCCTATCTATAAAAGATTTGCCTCCCTCTCTCCCTCTCGATAAATTAAAATCCACCCTCAACAATCTTGACTAGCCCCTCAAACAAGGCCAAGAAGTAGGGAAAAACACACCTCATGGAAAGCTGCAACAAATTCTTCTAATGATTTGACACTGGCAAAATCAGCTTTGAATGTTGTAACTGCTTGAGGTTGTGGCTCTAAATTAAGTACAGTCCAGGTAGCTGAATTGCCCTCTTTGTGCACTGTGGTTTGAATAGCTATAATATGTTCAGCAAGGGTTTCTCCAGACTCTGACGTCATGATGATCCTCGCCCCAAAGAAGTCATCATCATACTGGATGTGAAGATCCCCAGCACCAAGTGCCTAGGAAAAGAAGACAGGACACATAGTAAGAGGGTTGCTCAATCTAACAATGTGACTTATTGTACAATCATTTCAACACCAGGACACTTAAAGAAAGCATACCCAGATTAGTGAAGCACCATGTTGCAATATCAACTGAACAAAAGCTTCATCTTTCTTCACACAATATAACATTTGCTGACTTTATGAGGATCACACAGCACACTCACCTTCACATACCACAAATAGGTATATACTCCAATCAACTTGCATCTTATCATCCCCTAAATGTGTTACACCAACCACACACATACACATACATACCTCTAACCAACAACCTCCATTTCTTTCTTTGGTTCTTGAATTTTTCCCATTGCCTTTTATCAATATCTACAATATATGCTAAAGATTCCATTTCTTTCTTTGATTGTCTTCCTTCAATCTTTATCAACAAGAGAGATCAAAGATTACACTATCACCATATTAATGGAAATATCCATATCAATAAACTCTAAATATTGCTTGCAGCATTGTGTAATTTCTAGGCATATAGACAGGTTTCATAGCATTTTCAAGTTTCTTTTTTTCTATGTATATACATGGGTTGCCTGAATAAATACTGACCCAGATCTTTTACAAAATAGGAATTTAAAACATTAATTTTCACCGATTAAACTTTCACAATATATGGGCACCTGCCTCAGTTGTGTAGTCTACCAGTCATATTGATTTTGATTTGATCAGATCTCATTGATATTTCTACAAGTTAAGGTTACATATCACTGTCATTTGGCAATCTGCATGCAGTCAGTACCTGTTCTCATACTGGTGTAATTACTCAAAGTCTCAAAATGTACTAACTAAGAGTAAAGTTCTTCACTGTCTATTTCATAATGAAAAAGTAGCTTTCAGGAGTTTGATGAATTTCTGTAATCCTTACCATGAAAATTTATGTAGTGTAAATGTATATCAGATTTCCATTTTCCTTCAAATATTCATTAGCTTCAAAGTTTTCATCCATCCATCCTACCATCATTCATAATGATATATCACTAGAGAAAAGGTCAACCCAGTAATCCTGAATTATTCTTCTAGTACATACATATTTTTTGCTTTTCTGAAAACTTGCTTTGTAAATTTGAGACTTTACATTGAAATAAAGGAATGTTACACACTACAGCTGGTAGTAATAAAAATCTGCATGCAGTAATATATAGCTCATATCAAATATTTATTTCCTCAAGATGAAGTTTAATTCTTGGTCTGGTTACTGAAAAAACATAAAAGAAATGTACTAACTCAAAGGGTCACAGCAGGGCAGAGAAAGACCCACAAATGAAAGGGTTCAATATATGTATTTTTTCCAGCCTACTGACAATACATAATGAAATGGAGGGTTTCACTTGGACAATTCCACATCAAAGATTACTCTGGTTATATAGCATGTTTGGGAGGGTACTCAGCTGTTCATATAGACAGGTTTCATGAAGAACATTGCTTTCATATCACACAGTTGTAAATAATACTTCACTGGCATATCAGTTAAATAGTTTAGTTATCATGCATTTAACCTTCCTACATGCAACACAAGTAATCTTTTACTATCTTCATGCCTAGATTAATGACCCTACTACATGTTATCTTAGACAGTGCAGGTCTCTTTTATTCAAAACTGAAATCTCAGGAAATACAGTTTAGTGAACATGAAAGATGGTTGAGGAACAAGAATAGCTTTCGTCACTGCATTAAAATGTTACAATACAAAATTCACTCCTCAAATGAGACATTTTTGGCTAACATATGGACACCTACATATATTACCATTCATATATACTGAGCCTGAAGATAATGTGGAAACAAAAGGTATGCACTGATAAAATATAATATAAAGAGGACAAGCAAAAACATTCTATGGATATTGGTAAAAAAGTTAAAAAGTTGCCCTTATCATAGAAAATTACAAAAAAGGACAAATGAGCACTGAATTAACATGTAGTGGTGGCAGTAATCCAATGTTAAGACAAAGAAGATTGTGAGCATCAGCTACTGAAAACATTAATAATCACAAATTCACACATTTGTGCTAAGCAATAGATGGAAAAAGCAAACTGTCACACAGTTAGGATTAAATATCTGTCACTGCATTATTTACACAAGTTTGTGCTTCCAGTAATAAAAAGGAGTAAATTACATTTGAACAGGGACTCGTTAAAATGTTGGGAGTGAAAAGCAGGCTGGAAAATGATTAAATAAATGTGAATAATGCAGGAATGTAATTGAAAACAGAAACCAAAGAAAAATGGAAGTTGAATGTCAATAGAAAGGGGAAAAGTTTAAAACTAAAATGTTTAAATAAAAATGTTCAATATTGGAAAGAATGCCTAATCAGCCAGGATACAAAGGTAGAATAAATAAAAGATAAGACTTTTAGTAACTTGACAGAACATTCACACAACTTCATATTATGCAGTTTTGTAAATGAAGCATAGCAGCAACTAAAAAATAGATGGGAAGTGTAGGCAGTGTGAGATAAACAAATAAAAAGCATAGTTTAAATTCACAGTATTCTTGGAAGAAACAAACCACTGCAGAGACTTTTTTTTCAATGTGGCAAAAAACTGTTAATGATTAAATGGAGAATGAACTAGGTTACTGCAGCCACCAAATTACTGGGTTAGATAATAGCAGTATCCTGTTAACTGGCATAATGCATGCTAATATATACAGCCTGAATCATGGAACTTACAGTTGGTGCTGTGTTGATAATCACTGTCTATGATCCTCTCAACATGTATATTTCATGTGCTTACCGTCCAACTACCATTTTCTTTTTTAGACAAGGTGCATCTCTTGGTAAAAATCACTACATTATCATCTCCATCCTCATCATCATCATCCTCATCGTCCTCTTCCTCTTCATCATCATCATCATCTTCATCATCATCATCGTCGTCGTCATCGTCGTCATCATCATCTTCATCCTCATCCTCATCATCTTCATCCTCATCATCATCTGCATCTGCATCTTCATCTTTTTGAAGAGAACTGCTGGGGTGTGGAAGGACAAATGTAGCAGAAGTGTTTGTGCTACCTGTAGGATCTGCTTCACTTTTCCTTAGGACCTCTTGGCTTTCTTCAAACTTCTTCTGGAATTCTGCAGCTATTTCACTTGTCTGAAAAATTTAAGTTTTGCAAATAGTACCATACAAACTTTTCAAAAGGATGAGATAGATAGATAGATCAGGAGAAGAAAAATCTAATTATATAATTAGAAATCTATTAGATCAAACATACCATTTTTATAGTCTTTAAATTGGTAATGAATAAATGCTGATATCAAATACTTAAAAAAAAAGAAAAAAAAAAGAAAAGAAAACCCACCTTAAACCTGATTGCTAACTTCTCATCTGTGCCTTCTAAGCTCTCAGAATAATCCTTAGCATACCAGCACCAGGCAGTTTCTGAAGTCTCCATGGGTCGTAATTGAAGTTGGGTTGTTAGGTAGTGGTTGCAACACAATTTGTGGACCTGTAATTATATATGTGACATATATTACTTAGTGTAATAAGGAGGGGGAAGGATTATATATTTTCTGTGTACTTCAACTTCCTTTAATATTGGAATAGGTAATAATTATAATACTAATAAAGATGGCAAAGACATTAAATTAAGTAAGACCAAAAGTAGTCTTTTAAATTCACATTTTCCCTTAAATTCAATCCCTCACCACTGTGTTAAGACTTGGAACTGTTGCTATTCATTTTAACTCCGAGGTTTGACATACCTGAAAAAAATCGAACAAACCTGTTCTCTCCTTTGCAGTAAGCGGAATTTATTTGTGGCTGGGTCTCGCAGAATTTTAAAGTCTCCAATGCCTCTCTCTTTCCACTGTTTGGAGCCACTATCATAACGATACAGCTTGCCACGATTACTAAATATTACTTCTAAGTCCTCCTCTCCAGTCTTCACCTGCTCAGGGAAAATTTATATTTGCAAATATAAGTCATCTGTGGCTACAGCAAACTTTTGGCATATACATGCAGAAGACTGATTTATAAATCAATCCACATATCACTAAGAACTCACCTCCACCAAATCAGGTAATGGTACAACAGGTTCAAAGTGGGGATCATGATCATTTTCAACTACATCATCATCATCATCTCCAGTCTTCTTTGGAGACTTCCCAAATACAGGTTGTCCTTTCGCAGCCCATACTGCATCTGCTGCTACCGTGTCTTTAACAGAAGAATAAGCATTAAAATTTGGTTCAAACCATTTCAATTAATATTATCTAACAGTAAGCTCTATCAAACTCAATAACTTTATTAGCATATGTACATTTATCAGTAAGTGATGTTTAAAACTTACTTTTCTGACCAAATCCACTTTCATTTGATTGTGAAGCCAAGTCTCCAAATGATAGCATGTTTCCACTGCTAATGGTGGAAAACAAACTCCCTTCTGTTGATTTTGTTGTGCTACTTGATGTAGTATTTTCTGTTGATGTTGCAACAGCATTACCAAACATGCTTGGTGATCCTGAAGTCTTGGCATTGCCGAAGAGTCCACCAGCTGAACCAGCAGACCCACCAAATATGCTTCCACTAACAGTACCTCCAAATATACTGGCACTACTAGTGATGCTGGAGCTGCTAAATATACTGGGTGAACTGCTGGCAGTTGTGGTAGTTGCTGTGAAGCCTCCAAATGTACTGGTAGAACTACTAGTAGCAGAACCACCAAATATACTGGGAGAATTTGTAGCAGAGGAACCACCAAACAGACTGGGGGAATTCGGAGCAGGGGATCCTCCAAACACACTGGGAGCATTGGTAGCAGTGGAGCCTCCAAATACACTGGGGGAATTAGAAGCACCCCCAAAAAGACTAGAACCTCCAGTACTTCCCCCAAAGATTTTAGGGGTTTCAAAAATGCTTGGAGACTTTGGTGGTCCTTTTCCAAAAACTGCATTTGTGAAAGGCCCTGCACTTGTTCCACCAAGTATGGATGATGTAGAAGTACTAATTGCTGGAGTAGATACAGATGGTATTGTTTGCTCAACTTTTCCCTGTTGAAAAATGTGTCATCAGTAAATAAATGCAAAGAAAAGAAAGAGAAAATACATTAATAAATTTAAACATTCCATGAAGTCTGCCTTATAATACATTTTTGCATCACTGCTATACTTACCACAGTTTCTTCTTCCTCTTCACAACAGCCCTGGCAGCCTGGGCAAGGAGGGGCATCTTCATACAAATAGAAATTATCAGGAAGCTGCAGTTTTCTAGCTTTCTGTACTTGTTCAGGTGTAGCTTTCTTCTCAAAAACTACCTCCACCATATCTATGTTACAAAGATAAGTGAAAAATGAAAATGTTAGAACGATTTTGCAATGTAATACTTTAAATAGTGTGAAGAAACTGAGATTATACAAAAATATACTTCATAAGAAATAAAATATTTTCCTGAAAGACCCATATAGTGACATTAATACAAGTATACCTATACACCCCATTCCCTTGTGTGTGTGTGTTTTTTAAATAAATGCTTCACATAGAAAATACAATATATATATCTTAAGATAATCTCACACTGAAAAGCAACTACGTGCTAAATTTAGCATTGATTTACCTTCAAAGCTGTTATATCAGCTTTATAAGCATCTCCACTGTCACATATTTACAATCAAAGTTTCATTAACTGAACTGAAGGAAGCATATCAGTATAATTTTGGATACCTTCACATCTGTACAATAAACAATATGATGCACACTACTTTTTTCTTTATCGACATTTTCCAGAAATAAAAGAAGATAATGTATCAAGAATAAACAAATCATATTTGAAAGATAATGGGGAAAAAAAACTAAAGAGATATAGCTAATCAATCTAAAAAGAAAAATACAAACATGAAATAAATAAATATCTGATAATCTAAACCGCTGCCCCTTAACCCACTCTTGCTGGGTAATGTATTAACCTTTATTCATGTCGGATGACATATACGCAGTCAAGCCTGCACAAAGTTAATTGCTTGTTTGGTTCTGGTTAAGGTTGCTGAGGAGAATAAACTTCTCAAAAGTAGACAATCTCTTTTCAGCCTCATTTCCTAAAAAAATTATGCCAAGAACCATATACATTGTTTCTGAGGTTCAAATTTTTATGCAAGCAACTGACCTTACATGAAGCCTAGTATGTGGTTCAGTAAGGCACAGGGTAAACCTTTTCTGGTTCAGTATGGCACAGGGCAATCCCATTCTGAATACGTTAACCTAGACATGCTGTACATATTGCTAGTACGGACTGGTTGGCGTAGTTGCATTATCCTATTTTACATGGATAATCCCCAAAACAAACTTTTTATCTACAAAAGTAAACAAACAGCTTTTTAAAAATAAATGCAAATAAATGTAAATTCAGAATAAAAGTCCTTACATTAGTGCTATAATACAGTGAACTAAATGACCCAGGAGGATCCACTTACAGGTTTAAAAATCACAAAAAGCCTGGGGTCTTTGGTTCTAAAAAACAGTGAAATATGTAACAAAAACAAAAAAAGTGATGTTAACTATGATATGGGTGAGAAACCTGCTAGTCCATCTTGCTTCCAACTGCTTTCAAGCACCCCTATTTCTTGTTCACTACTAATAACACAAAAGACTCCATGTCATAAGACCCCCTTTTTATTAAAGGAATCTAGGAATCACTGGAGAAAATATTGGAAAACAAGGTAATTTTGAAGTATTATGACTATATCTTTACCATTTTCATAGAGTAACTCAAAGCCTCTAGGCCAGCTACAGCACTGTATAGGCTAAACTCTGAGGCATACATGAACATAGTAGGATCCATTATGTGCAGACAACTGGCATGCTTAATTCCATGCCATATATATATATACTGACAAAAGTCCTGGTATGTGGCTCTGATACAGATATGTATGATGAAATGAATCCCTGTAGCAATTTTGTTTTTTTTTGGCTTTAATTCCCACATAAGCATCCAGTCACCTATGTGTACAGTCCATAATATATATGGGCCATAACCTATAATTTGACTGAGTTAACAATGGCATAACGTGTATCCCTGAAGGTACATTAATTCCCACCATGGGACAACACACGTCATCCTGAGGAATGAGTTAATATGCATTCAGACCAGGCTTGAAGGTAATGAGATCCACAAGTATTACAATTGTAAATGATCTGGACCAACTGTAGAATCTCATTGAAAAAACATACATACAGTATATATATAAATACATATAAACAGAATCAAACTCCCTACTTTACCACTTGCCAATTAGTAACAAATGTTTAAAAAGCAGAATGTTTCCTACGAGTCTTTAAGTATCCAAAGTTTAAGGGAAGAATAAAGAAATTAAGCTAAAATATAAAAGCTTTAGTCAAGCCAGGCTATCAGCTACAAATACTTTAGCTTGTTGCTACTTTAACACATGAATATAATGATCACCTTCACTGTCATCATCATCATCATCTGCCTCACAGCCAACACAGCCTGGGCAGCTTGGATGTTCTTTGTAACTATAGAAATTCTCAGGGAGCATCAATGCCTTGGCATGGCATTTCTGCTCCTCATTACTGCTCTTAATGTAGACCACCTCACAGTCTGCTAAGTGAAAGGTCATCAACAATGCAATATCAGGAAGCCATTATTAGTGAAAAAATGTTGAAGTTATTTGCAACTAATCAGATGAAATTAAAGCATTAATATGATCTTTCTAATACAACCATGCTCCAAGTGGAAAATGAAGTCTATCAACTTGTTATTCCAAGTTCGTCTAATTTTAGTAACCGTTTGTAATCATTACAATACAAAAAAAAAAACTAGAGGCATTAGTCTGAATACAAAGTGAAATATTTTGAATTACTTGTGTAAGAATTAGTAATCTTAGGGAAGAGAAAGATTACAGGAATTGCTATGATAAAACAAGAACCAAAGGATATGCACATATGTGACATTTGAAAAAAAAATCATGATTTAAAGTTCACCATCACTGTAATAATAATCAACTGCTAGCTGTTTTGCTCAAATTACTTTCTCTAAGAGCATACCTGAAATGGTGCTAAACTAGATAAATTGATCTCCACTTTGGATGGAAAAAAAGGGTACATTTCATCCATGAAAATCATCCCACTACATCTAGCTTACCTAGAATTTTATGTCTTTATATAAGAAATAAAGATTCTAACTGCCAGCTAAATATAATTGATAAAGGAAGATTGATCTCCATTTTTATTTTTCAGTTAGAGATTTATTAAACACCCTTTCTAGGTTATAGATGAGATTTTTGAAGAAGTTTTGGCTGGACTCCCTGACTACACTGATACATAATAGTGATGGTAAATTATGGGTTCTCTATGATCAGATAAAAAATCTTAATAACTATAATAACAATAATAACAAAAAAATTATAAAAAATTACCTCAGAGCATTCCCCCCACTTGGCCTATACAAAAACAATTTGGTGAGACTCCTATCTCAATTCCTGGCAACAAAGTAAATTCAACTGCACTAGCCCTTGTGAAGATTTTCAAGCTTCCTCTAACATAAACACAAACTAGTAAGGAATAACTTTAAACACACTTTTACTATCACTTCACCTCCCTCACTTCTCCCCCAAAAAGATCATACTTATTCCACATAACAAATCAATTAGAAAAGAGTAGAAGAAAAAAATCTTCCTTTGCTTAAGGTAAACTATGAAGAGTTTTAATAATGGTTAAAGCTGCTATTTGGTTAACAAAAGACTTTCCAGATACTAAACTTTGGAAAAAGAGAGTATGTGATGAAACTGGAGTTTTCTAAAACTTACCATCAGCATCTGGATTTAAGGAGAATTTGTCTCCAAAGCTAAAGGTGCTTCTTGGGGTAGTAGACATTGTAGTCGCTGCTCCAAACACTGTCAAATAAATATCATAACATCACTATCCACTTCAAGAATCTACAGTGCAAATATTTTTCAATAACATATGGCAGGGACTACCATAAAAGAAAGCACTATATATGATGGAAAAAGGATTATTTAGATGTACCATAATAATCTATAGATAAATTGATATACATTTTACTACACAAACTAGCATCAAAATATCTTAAGGTATGAAATCAACATACAAGTAAGTGGGACCTTTGGCCAGGTTACAAATCCAAGTAAACATATGCCACACCTTCCTTTTATGCTCAAATAATTTGTAGTTGAAATACTCTGTCAAAGGACATGTCTATAAAATGTGATAAGAACCATCTAATTTTTGTAAGTAAATTATATACAAAAGGAAAATTAGGTTTAAGTGAGGAAAAAGAAAAATGTGTTCAATAAATGTGATCAGAATGGTGAATTACTGTATGTACTATAAAAAGTTGAATATGCATCCTTGATTTCTACCAATTTTGGAAAGCATGTGCAATACATACCAGATGGCCCACCAGCTGCATTTAGTATTCCCTGCTGATCAGGACTTCTTAGTGTGAAGGTAGCAGACACATTAGTGACGAAAGATGGTTCAGTGCCACTCCCAAATATTGTGCTTTTTGTTTCTGTTGATCCAACCAGACATGAGAAAGTGAACCAAATATAATCTGATTGCATGCAACATTTGCTTAATCAATTATGTCACTTCCAAAATGAAAATGCAAATACTCCAGATCCCAAACCCATAAAAAGTGTGAAGAGGAAGTACAATGAAAATATAGGATGTGGGGAGGATGAAATATAAGAAAAGCAAACACAGTATATAAAAAAAAACAAAATAAGACCAACTTAGAAGAACTCACCTCCAAACAGTGTCTTGCTGGGTGTTCCTCCAAAGACAGAGCTGCTTAGCTTGCTTGTAGCTTCCCCTGATGTGGTATCTGCTTCAGCCTTTACAGAAACTGGTGCTGATGCTTCAGTCTTACTTGGTGTGTCTGGCGATTTTTCTTTCTTCGTTTCTTCTGATTTTACAGGACTTGATGATACTGTCACTGGACATTCTGTTGGAGTGCCACCTAACTGAACCTGTAAGAAAAGGATAATCATATTAATAAACATTGTTTTGTACAAATAAAAAAAATGAGAGATAGAGATAAATGATAATTAGTAATCAGCATATTTTTATGGATAATTTTCTAGTCTAATAAATGGGATATCAATGACATTTATCCCTGAAAACTGCACAATTTCCTATTTTCCCTTTAGTCTTCAAAAGAATATTTGATTTTCTCCCAAAACTTGCCTTTGCACTATCTACTGCCTTATAAAATTCAGCTGCAATCTCTGGGGTCTTAAAACGGATTGCAAAGGTTTCCTTTTGTGCTTCATTTTCAGTGTAATCAACTGCTGCCCAATAGAAGGTCTTCTCATCCTTCTTGCGGAATTCCATGTCTGCTTTTAGGTAATGGTTCATGCAGATCTTGTGAACCTGCTCCCTTCTCATCAGTAGCCTTATCTTACCATTCTGCGGGAGATAAAATTCAATTACATTTTGCAGTTTCCTCATTCAATTTAATTTTACTGCCTAGTAATCAGAATTACAAAAAAAAAAAAATCAATATATGTCAATCCAATTCAACATCAAATAAGATTTACCTTCTTGTGGCACAGGATTTTGACATCGCCTATGCCTCGTTCTTTCCATTCTCCACTGATTAAACGGAAAAGCTTGGAGCGATGAGAGTAAAGACAAGTTTCCTCCTCTTCTCCAGTCACGACATCAACCTTGTCAGGTAGTGGTATCACAGGCTAAAAAATAGAGAACAACTTCTGTTGCAAATTTTAAAGATATCTAGCCACAAAAAAATATGTAACTCCAATCAGCAACATCAGTAATATGCAATGTTAATGTAATAAATTGGTCTCAAGTTTGAAACAAATAGCACATAAACTTGTTCAGTACATCAGCAGAGAGAGAATATCTTTTCAAGACTACTGATTAAATTGTGCCAACATAGCTTGTCCTATATTCAAAAGAGATAAAATCAGACAAAATTAAGCACCTTAGTATAGTTTTCCATAGTTACATCTACACTTAGAAAACATTTATTTAATCTTGGCTCAAACTAACTACAGAGTTAAATTAAATCATAAAAATATTTCTTACCTCAAAGTAAAGATGGTCCCCTTCATCCTCTTCCACAAGGCCATCTTCTGATTCACACTGACTGATGTCCCTTGACCTGGGAGAACGAGCCTTAACTCCAGTGAATGAGAACTCGTACTTTCCAGGACTACCAAAGACAAAACCTGGTTTTTCCTCTTTGGTTGGTGTTGAGGGTTGCTCCTGTGACCCTGATGGCTTAGATTGAGAAAAGGTTGATGAAGAAAAGGCTGAAGTGCCTGCAGTAGAGGCTGAACCAATGCTGGCTGGGGTAGTTGTTGACCAAGAGAAGCTGAATGGCTTGTTGGTTTGTTCCCCAAAGGAGAAAGCGGGTTTTGTTTCTGTTGTAACGGCAGAATCTTGCACAGGTTTTATTGTTACACTGCCTGGGATACCAAATGAAAATGCAGGCTTACTATCAGTATTGTCTTGGGCAGGTTTTGCACTTGTGCCAAAGGGAAAAGCTGGCTGAGAGGGTGTGCCAGTTGCACTCTGACTGTGGAGGGAATGCTATATGAGAATGCAGTCTTGTTTTCTGCTACACCAAAGCTAAAACCACTTGAGGTTGAAGATGTATCACTTTTGATGCCAAAGCTGAAAGATGATTTATCACCAGTAGAAGAATCTGCACTGGGAGCACTACCATCTTTACCAGCTTTACATGCAACACATGCAGTATCTCCTGCATTGTTACGCACCAAACAACTATTACACTCCCATGAGCCAGCTGCTGGTTTGAACATGCTTGCCAGAGAATTAAGGTTGGGTTTATCATCATTCTTTGCCGATTCTTTTGGTGCAGTTGTTGAGGATGGAATACCAAAGCTGAACTGGGGTGTTTGAAGTGTGCTCTCTTTAGGTGGTTCATAACCTGGTTTGTTGCTTGAACATGAAACACACACATTATCTTCGGGTTTGTTTCGCACTAAGCAGGTATCACACTCCCAGGATCCCGCAGCTGGTTTGAACATAGCAGCTAATGAACTGGTAGCAGTATTTGAAGCTTTAGTTGGGACAGCATCAGAAGCAGCTGTGGTGTCTGAAGTGACCGACTCTAGAGATTTTTGGGCTTTCTCAAATGCTGCCTTAAAACTCAAAGCCTGAAACATAAAATTAATGAAAGACTCTTAAACCAAAGATTAAATAATTTACTTAAAACTAGGTAGCAAATCAAAATATCAAGAAATTTTTCTTATCACCCTTCCCCATGAAGTGCCATGACAGTGTATGGAGGGCTCTGGATTCCAATCAGCATGATAAGGAGAGACAAGAGCAAAGTACCATAACTCACCAATTCTTGGGTCTTAAATCTGGCAGCAAACCTCTCTTCCTTCATTTCTTCATCTGCAAAGTCATGTGCAGCCCAAATCCATGCCTTGTCTGATGTTTGCATTTGAGTTAGTTTTATCTCTGGTGTGAGGAAATGATTGGCACACACCTTGTGGATTTGTTCACGACGCATCAAAATGCGTATCTATAAGAGAAAGGTACTGCATTAGGAAATTTTAAAAACTACGAAATGCACCTAAACCACAAGTTATTTTCTCATACCACCTTTTCTACAGCTAATGGCAGTTCACTCATATTACCTTCTTAGTTGTATTGTTCTTCAGGATCTTTAGCTCTCCTATGCCTCGTTCCTTCCATTCCTTGGTGTCCTTATCAAAGCGGAAAAGCTTTGCTCGCTCGCAGAATAACCTCTCTTCTTCTTCCTCACCTACAAATAGCAATTCTATTGTAGCACTATCAGTTTCCCCTTGCTTTCTTTCACAGAGAACAATTCCAAAAACAAATCAGAGTTCTACCAACCACCCACTCACCTGTCTTAACCTCAACCAGGTCTGGCAAAGGAACAACTGGCTGGAAGTCTACCTGAGGTTCATATTCTTCTACTTTGTCATCACCATCATCCTTACTGGGTGATTTGGCTTGCGAACCTCCAAACAAAGCCTTTGGTTCAAACTGGAAAATTAAAAAGGTATTTTCATATGCTGATAACCATCCCTTAGGAAAATATTCTGACACTGTCAATACTTTTGGCAGCTTTAATAATTTTGCAATTATCCTGAAAAATACCAAGAAATTTTCCTAAATACCCCAAAAATTATACATGAATTATTCACATATCCCTAACTCCACAAAAATAATGTAAACAGCTTGTGTGATATTTAATGAAGTGTATACTAATTTCTTCCAGAAATTATTCACAAGAGTTCAACTGTCTGATGAAACTTTTATGGGGGTACTGAAAAAATATGAATTGTCATCTGAAGAGACAAGCAAGTGTTTTTCAGTAACTGCAACAGTGATGCTTCTTCAAAATCCCATAAAACTTACAGCTTTTGTATCCTTAATGGTAAACACCTTTGACGATGTAGAACTGCTGTTGGCAGCCAAACTGCTGAAGGATACCAAGTTGCCTGCTGGTTTGTTGCTGAACAACCCTCCATCCCCAGATGACTGGCCTAAGAGGAGATAAAACAAGAGAGTTTTCAACATGTTCATGATTACAAATAATCAAACGTAAAGAGATGGAAGAAGTTCATGATTTATGTTATTTTATTAAAACACAAAGACTATATAACTGTGATAATTTCAAACATAACACAAACACTTATTAGTCTATGCTATTACAAAATGCAAACAACTGCCAAAGATATGAAAAGACAAAACAAAAAGAACCTTACTTGACACTGCAGGACTTCCATCAGGCTTGCTGTCTTTTGTTGGCACACTGAAATTGAAGCCAGCGTTTCCTGAACCAGATGAGGCACTGGACCCAAAGGAGAAACTTGCAAATATTGATTCCTTTTTCTTTTCCTCCTCTTTTGGCTTCTCTGGGACTTCCACCTTATCCTGCTTCAATGTGGGAGTGGTAGTGAAGGTGAACCCGCTTAGGGAGAACTTAACGGTATCCTTGGCTGTGTCAGCACTGGTAGCAGGGGTTGCGACAGCACTGGAGGAAGTTGGGGCTGAGCTGACCAGGGGACTGATGGTTGTTTTTGAGGGGTCTAAGCCAAATCGGAAGCCAACTGGAATAAAAACTTCCTTTTTAAAAGATAAAAATAAACAAAGAAGGTCATTCCATGAATACCTATTCCATTACAGAACAGAGCCACACACACAAAACATATTACCCTTAAGAAAAAAAAAGTAGAGTACTAGTTTCAGTTTGGCAAAATTAAGACAGGCATATAGCTTTACTTGCAAACAAATATTACCAAACCCTTTCATGAGCTATATAAGTGTCTGAACTTGCAAACTCAATTTAATTTTTCAAGCATCCTTCGCATCATATCAAGTACTCACATCCCGTGGCAGAAGCTGAAGTGGAAGTGTTGGGAGTTGAAGCCATGCCAAGCTTGTCTGGAGATGCAGTTGATGAACCTGGAGTATTTGTGGGGCTTTTAAACTTGAATGTTGCTGAAAGGAATGAATAAATCCTTGTGATCATAAGCCATGTCCAAAACTTTTGAAATCACGAAATATTACCTTCATCTCTAAATGCAGAAAACTAAACAATAAAATTTTGCTTTCTGACACTAATGAGCTTATCAAAATGTTACGTTTTAAAACACAAACTCCCATGCATACAGCTTACCAAAGGGTGTCTGAGGTGCAGCTGATTCCTCAACCTTGGGGGCACTGGGATTGGGAGTTTCACAGGCAGCGCATTTGCTCATTTCAGCAGAGTTGTTCACCAGGCATACAGAGCAGGTCCAAGATCCTGCAGCAGGCTTGAACATCTCTGCTAGGGATTTTCCTGAACTTGCTGGTAAAGGTTCTTGGCTGGCAGTCTTACCTGCATCTCCTAAACTCTGTAAGTGAAAAGGCCAATCATTATATCAAATATCTTAACTGCTAAAATGATGTATAAAGGGTACTCAGAAAAATAAAGAAAAATATAAATATGCAAACAGAACTGGAGGCATTACCTGCTGTTTCTCCAATTTTTCTTCATTCTCCTTTACAATTGCTTTTGCTTTCATGAAAGCATCCTTAAAGCTTGTAGCTATCTCCAGTGTTTTGAATCGGCAACAGAACTTCTCCATTCGCAATTCTTCATCTGCATAATCCTATAAAAATATGAAAAAACTCTTATTATGAAATATAAACTTTAAACTCATGGAGTGTCAAGTGGAAATTCCCACTTCGTTGAACTGCAAAAAAACATTAAAAATAGGAAATATACAGTAATCACCAAATCTTTGAAATATATACTGTATACAGTTTAAAATTGGAATTTTAAACAATAAAATCTTATTATTATACCTGTGCAGCCCATATCCAAACTTTGTCATTTCCTTTCATGGCCTGCAACTCTATATTAGAATACACAAGATGGTTGGCACAGATCTTGTGGGTCTGAAAAGAAGAAGTCTTTGAAAATCCAAGATTTAAAAAGTTGTCTTACATAAAAAAAAAAAAAAAAAAAAAAAAAAAAAAAAAAGTTCTGTACCACAAATACAACTAAATTAAAAGGCACATCAGGTGGAATAAAAATCAAATAACAGATTCACTGAAATTATTACCTGGTCTCTCCTCATTAGAACACGCACTGAGCCCTGGGAAGGGTTGTGCAACAGTTTCATAACACCTGTTCCCCGCTCTCTCCATTCCTTCTCTACAAATCTGAAGAGCTTGGCTCTCTCTTCAAACAATACCTGGAATAACAACATGGAAAAATGAATACTAGACACCTTCACTAACCATGACAATACAAGCACTTATTGTCATTAACTCTATTGTATCATTTGTAAGTTTTCAATATTTGTTGTCTTCAACTACTGATTATGCATTCTTGAAGACAGGGAGGGGGGGAGAGGGAGAGGGAGGGGGTAGGGGTAGGGTAGGGGGTAGGGAGAGAGAGAGAGAGAGAGAGAGAGAGAGAGAGAGAGAGAGAGAGAGAGAGAGAGAGAGAGAGAGAGAGAGAGAGAGAGAGAGAGAGAGAGAGGAGAGAGAGAGAGAGAGAGAGAGAAAATCTAAATATCTCAACCTACCTCTTCATCCTCTTCTCCTGTGCGAACCTCCACCTTCTCTGGCAATGGAATTACAGGCTTGAAATCTGGACATGGGTCATGGTCATCCTCCACATACCGATCATTGTCATCGTCAGCCATTTCCTTTGCCTTTGGAGCAGGGGATTCTGATGTGGTAATGCCCCCAGGACTCTTAAAGGTACCTGAAAATGCTACAGAAAAGCGATAAATATAAATAAGAAAAACTAATGAAATAATAAAGAAGAAAGAAAAAGGTGAGGACTTGCCCAAGACTTTTTTATTACTATTTTTTGAAGATTAACTATTCCAACCCTGATTATCTACTCTCATGTAGTCCATAACAATCTACTTCAACCACCAAGTTGCACAGATCTGTCTTAGAAACAATGATACTTATATAGAAAGCTACAGAATGTCATGCAAAGTGTTAAATGCTATTCAGAGCCATTAGTGAGCTGGTTTTAGCACTCGCTATTATACAGTTAGTAATTCTTAACCTTCTAAGGCATCACTCTGCAAATTAAGGTAATTTCGTTTGCATGCTTTATTGTATTTTCATTATAATTCATCCACTCTAGTGGTACTTATTGTTAATCATTAATAAATGCTGAAATCCCTTATCTAAAAAATCATCATTCTATAAGCAATCAGATGTAGTGAACCTTTTGCAAGCTTTTATATATCGTAATGTGTAATGCCTTAAAAGGAGTTATGCCAATCCTTTTTCTATTAAAAAACTTTCCAAGTACTATATTTATCTACCAAAGATGAATTCCTCCTTATTCAAATTTATCCAAAATTGAGAAAAAATGCTTGTTTCAACAATACAACACAACAAAATTGGAAAAGTAATATAGTTTCCCACTCATGCACTGCACTTCCCATACAAGAGACACAGTAACATAGAATTTATAATTTCAACACCTAGCAAAACTGTTTTTTACTGTTTGTCATTTTCTTATTAAATCTCATTATGTCAATGACTAAAATTTGCCTTTTTTTTAACATATTCCAATATTTTTCTTATTTGTATTTGCCATTATTCTTCCTTGTAGGTGTATTCATATAAACCTTGTTAGTAAATACAATGAAAAGATCATCTAAAACCACAATATTTAACAGCACAAAGGTACATAAAATCATCAGCACAACTTTTCTAAAAAATATAATAATAATAAATAAATAAAGCAGAGGTAACTAACCAGGATCTAAAGGAAGGGTAGTAGTAAAAGCTGTAAAAAAAAAAAAAAAAAAAAAAAAAAAAAAAAAAAGCACAAGCAATACCTATCAGAATTTCAAGTTGATCAAGAGAAAGTCAAACCACATATAGCTGCCACTTATTCAGAGAAAACAAAGAATTAATACTGATGATAATAAAGCTGGGCCTTGGACTGGAACAACTGTCCAAAACCCTGAGACACATACAGCACAGGTATGAATGATAACTATTCATCTATTTGGATACAGATGTCATGAAAAAAATAGGCTTGCCGGGCAGGTAAAGTGACCGTGCCATAAAGGTAAAATTTAGCCGAGGGCCATGCGATGGGAATATGCTGTTACAAGAATTTGAGCTGAGGGCAGAGGGGATCAAAGCTCTTGGAGGGTGATTCGGATCCGTGGGGATTCAGGGGGTCTTGCATTATTCCTATTGGTAAATGTATGTGGAACATCCCATCTGTAAGCCAAGACTGGAAGAACACTAGGTCTGGGGAAGATACTATTTCCTTGCTCAGAATCCTATTCTTGCCCAATGGTGCAGCTTGTATCACAGAAAATTGAATATTACAGAAAAAATAATAAAATCACAAACAAAATATTATTTACTGTTATTATTAGTGCACTAAGTACCAGACTACCTAGATGATATGCATATATCAAATGATAAAGACATTTGAAAATAGCAAAAAAAATTGTGTTGAAAGAGATAACATTGCAAAGTAGAGGCAAAGAGTCAACTCACACAAGTGTTACTGTATGCCCGGCATACAAGCCCCACAACTATGAGTGGCCACTTAACCCATTGGATCCGGTTGCTTCACAGCAATTACATAAGACCACAATAAGGGCATTAAACATACCTGAGCAGGTGCTCTGACAGGCACACAGTTTGAAGGCCAAGCACACGCAAACATTTACGTGCAATATATTTTTTCCTTCTCTCTCTCTCTCTCTCTTTTCTTTTGTGTCCTTTTCCAAAGTCCATTTTTGTCATTTGATTTAATTATATTCCTTGAACAGGCTCTACATCATCTTGTTAGGTAGTCAATAATGAATAAAACAAACACACACACACACACACACACACACACACACACACACACACACACACACACACACACACACACACACGCACACACAAAAACACACACAAACACACACTATTAAAATTATTATTATTCTTTTTTAGTTTTCTGAAATATAACCTGTGATACCAGTCATGGCTACCAGGAATAGGATGCTGAGCATGGAAATGGCATCCTCCCTGGATTTGGAGCTCTTCTAGTCATGGTTCACAGACCGTATATTCCACACTCTTTTTTCAATGAAAATAATCAAAAAGCCTTTTCTAAATGTCAAATGAGCCAAATCACCGTCTAAGAGCTTAATGTACTTCTGGTGAGCCTTTCCTGTCTCCAGTCTTCAGCTGAATGCTCACAATATCAAGTTCACATCACCCCGTTCTAAGGCCAGAATTGCCCCCATGATGGTATGTTTACATCACACCGTCCTCAAGCCAAATTCTTTCATAATATGAGTCCTTTCATCCTGATCGTAGGGGTTAAATAAGTGTAATGCCTGGATTTTGGGCCACATGCAGGCAACAAAGCACCTAGAACCAGAGGTTAAGTCCACAATGCATATGTAATATCGAATGATCATTTAATACTTTTCACTGTGGATTTGTATATTATCACTTTTACCTATTCCACAATTGAAGGTACTACTTCACTCGTGGTCTACTACCTAAACTTATTCAAATTACTTAATTTTTTCTCTACACTCAGTGACTATCAAAAGGTTGGTTTCATTAAAAATGTCTGTCTGTGAGTGTTGTATGTGAACTCTTATCCATCCAGTTGGAACAACACAACCATACAAGAACATATTTTACATATTACTGAGAAAGCAACTGATGGAAAGACTGACTGACTGACTCATTCACTCACTCTCCACATGTATATCTCTGGAACCTCCATTGCATATGTGAATGCAAAACAACCAGAAAGAACAAAGGACGAAGGGAAAGTCTTTACTATTTGCCTCCATTCTTTTGGCTCTGAAGTTTCAAGATGTAGCTAAATGCAGACAGCATCTTTAGAGTAATTGTTCCTCAATGTAGGGTACTGCCCCTTTGGTGGTGAGCAGAAAATATGAGTTAGGAAGGTGGTAATATGGGGGGGGGGGGGGTGAGAACAGAAATAGACACAAAATTTACATCAAGTTACATGCAAAAGGTATAGCTTTATCTCCTCTTATGGTTTCAAATCAGTTAAAAGTCCAAACATGCATCTTTTGATGTAAATGGTATGGGTCACTTCCTAGTGCAGAAGTGATATGTCAGCCAGACCAGACAAGAAAGAAATATTGTCGTTTTTGCCAATGCAGGGCCAAGACTTTTAGGCACTAAGAGTTATATCCAGTCTCACAAATATAATTAACTGGCATTACTGATTTTTCAGTATATAAACTGTACTGTAAATCTACCTCTCCATATCACTAAATGTATTAATCTAAAAGGTTATATTCTATTTGTGATAAATCAACATTTGTCTACAGTTTTTAAATGTGTTTTGAATTTATTGTGTCTGTGGGTTAGGGTGGTGTAGGGAGGGAAAACTACAGACGCAGGAGCTAAGGGCATTACACCAAAAAGTTTGAGAATGACTGCTTTAGAGCATGCTAGAAGACTTTTAGAGCTGAGTTAGTGAGAGACAATGGGCCACATTTGCACCTTTACTGATAGAAGAGAATGAGCTGTGTTTTTACATATTATACATACAAACAAGGAAGGGTAACTAATTTCTTTAATCTAAACAGCTAACCAGGTAGTTGATGTTAATGTATTAATTTTGGGGGGCTCCAGGTTGACTACCTCCTGCATTGAAGTGAGCCTGGTGGCTGGGGAAACCCCATGAGCCAAGGGAAAACACTATATAATCTTGTCTTTGTTCCCATTTACAATAATTGCTTCATCAGTCTAGCTGGTCTAGTACAAACTACTACCTTGAGCTAGCCCAGTGGCTAGAGGCCATCAAAGGTCTAGGGAAATCTTGTTTTCTATCTACAGATCTAGTTTACCAAAACATATCTTATGTCATGGTAAGAGTTGAGAATGCCCTAGCATCTAAAAAAATAAAAACACTTCTACAACCACACCCACTCAAAGTTACAATTAAGTTATAAGAAAACTTTTCTGCTATGTAATCCTAAAAGCTTTAATTCTCTGAGTGTTTCCTTTTCTCTATTCCTAGTCTCTTTCATGCCCTATCTATGCTAATATCACAAACAATGTCAGCTGATGAGATGAAGTTTAAGAGTCTGATATGGTTTCATCTCACTACTTATAGACCTATAACATAACTACAGTATCATTATCTAGCCTTCCAACTTCTTTGTCAAGCTGCTTTTAGCAAGTGCTCTGAAAAGGAATATTAACTGTACTACTACTTGTCATACTATCATATGTAAAAATTGTGAACTCTATGTTCTTTTAGGTAAAACACAATCTGCTAAATTATGTCAAATATGTGAAAATCCATTTTTTTTTTCTTTAGATACTTATCTATAAGTAAACCTAAATATACAACCAAAAAATAGAAAACTAACAAAGAAATATCTATTGTAATACACTTCACCTTCCAATTTTGGGTGTTACAGTGAAATAGAATATCCCTTAATTAACTTAAAATCTTAATCATTAGCCTTCTGCATAAACCTCTCAACTACAAGTATAAATACACAAGTATCTATTTTGTTCTTTCAAAATATGCCAATTTACAAACTACTATCAAAGTGAAAGATATATGCATTGCTTTAATCAAGCCAGAGAACAACATAAAAAAGTTTCCTTCTAAATAAACCGACAGTTCCTAACTTGTGGTGGTTTGATTTTTGAAATCCCAAAATTATACTGGTGCAAAAATGCATTTCAGTAGAAAATGCACTTTAGAGGTTTAGTTTTGATTTTTCCTATACTAATGATATACAATATAATGTTGAGTGATAACTAAGATGCAGCTCCAAGTCTTTTGTGTTAGATGATCTTGCCCAACTGTAGGTTAAGTATACTGAGCAATTTCAAGGAAAACTATGCAAAGCTATGAAGCTCATTTGGTTATCTGGAACAAAACATTCTTGGCTCACAAATATCTACTTATAATACATTTATTAGGATAAGACCAGATCATACATCAAGTATAATTTGTACTAAAATGCATTAAGAAGCATAAAGTCAAAAAACAAACAGCCCTTGCAAACAACTACTTTACCCAAATGACATGCATATCTACACAAAGGCAAGAGAAAACTACTGTGTTTAGAGATATATGTGGTTGTCTCCAAAGGAACTCTTGTTTCTGGTGACATTTCTTTACAAGCAATCACTGACAGATAATAATAATAATAATAAAAAAATCTATGTGGCAGTCTTGTATGCCATATAGAGAAATCACAAAAGCAACAAGGCAGGAAAAACAGTGAACGAGGCTGTACAGGACTTCTAAACCAGCCATGCATCAGCATCCCAAAAGCAACACAAGACATACAAAATAATCGCGCTCTAGACTGGAAGTATGACATACTGATTGTGCAGTCCTGTGAACCAGACGAGGCAGATGGAGCATCCAGATTGTTGGCTGCGGGAGACAAGCCGCCCGTTGACAAATACGGAGACAGTGATTTAACCTGTGACTGGCCTCGTTGGGGGACGAGTCAGGAGTGACTGCTGAGTACAGGGGGGCGGGTATGTTGGCCAGGAGACCCGTAGCAGAGCATGGAAGGGTGATTGACAGCTGCTCCTCTAGTGTCATGATGGTGATGGATGTTGCAGAGAGAAATCCTAGGCTTAGTTGTGTGAATTTTGTGTCTTTTAGCTCATACTGGCTGATTTGCTCATTCATATAATAAAAGAGCCCTTTCTTTTAAGGTGTTAGTGAGAAAAGGACTATAATAATTTGTTAAATCCCATAAACCAATGCACATAATATACATTTTCCTTTGTGCAAAAAGTTAGAATACAAGTGTACCATAAATTCAGAAGACATCATCTTTTGGTGTCTTAGGTTCCTTTAATGTACACTAAATTTCATGCAAATGTTATAGACATTCAACAAGGCACTTGGTAGAAAGAATATCATGACAAGCCAAGTAACCATCCCATACAAAAATATTTGCATATAAAGTTACAAGAATCTAACAATACTATGAAAAGCAATTTTGTTAGCAAATATACTATAACTTTTTTTTCCTTCTTTTAATAATCTTAACATTGTCTCACAGTACGGTGAATAGAGCAGAGACACATATCTACTGAAAGCACCTCTTCCACTGCAGTTTGAGTTAAGTTCAAAAAGAATTTACCATGAAACCGTACAATTCCACACCACCATCTATAATATTCCAATTAGTAATCTGGATATACAAGGGTATATAATATCCCTTAAATGCTCCTTACACAACTCAATAATGTCAATTTTGTAAAAATAACAAAGGTTTAAAAATAAAAAGTAGTGTAATTTCTGAACATAAGAAAAGGCAGGGCAAGGACTACAATTGTATCTAAAATGAGGAAATAAAATGAGCATAACCTGATCAGAGGAACCAGAGGCAGCACATAACCATGAAACTGATGGGATATGTCATTCAAAAACATTTGCCATTTACAAGAGAGCATTTCACCAATTTCTAGGATCATCTAACAAAACTTTATATTCTTGCATTACTAATCTGTCAGTAACTTTAAATCATCATAAATCTTGCATTTACAACTCTTTAAACTATATAACATAAGAATATGTTTTATTTCCTGTCTCAAATCAACTAGAATCTATAGAGTTAAATTTTGTTGCCTCCAGATGTTTGCTTATTGATGATCTACAGTAACTCCCTGGTCATTGCTATACTTCCTAGTTGAAGAAAATAATAATTCAAATTACAAAATCTTATTGCAGTAACCTTTTCTTAAATTCAAATGAAATAATAATAATTATGAATGACAATCTTGAAATAATCATAGATAAAAACCTACAGGAAAATGCTCAGTATAATATGAAAGTTCTTTCAAATGATGCAAAAAGTGCTAAAAGTTTTGAATCACATATTTGGTACCAAAGCAGACAGGCAAGAAAATTGGATAAAACTGAGACAAAAGTTTATTCTTGAGCAAAATCAAGCAAAAATAGTAATAACAATAATAGTGGTAACAGTGATAAAATAATAATAATTATAACAATAATAATAATAACAATAATGAAATTGTTGTACTATCAATGTCAAACTGAAACAGTAATAAAAATACAAAAAATTGACAGACTTACCAGGTGCAGAAGCAGGTGGTGGTGTCAGAGCTGCAGACACAGCTGGCATTGTAATCTGGAAGGCATGAGGAGCACTGGTAACAGGTGGCATTATCTGCGCACTGCTTGTGGTGCCAGATGAAGAACTTATGCCCTGTGCCACACTCCAACTCACATTACCCAAGTTTGTTGTAGCAAGACTCTGGTGACCATAAAATCATGTTTTGGGTTAGGTGTTGTATTCTTATTCCTAAATTTTACAACTGGTTTAAACAAATAAAAATATTCATTATCTAAAACAAATACAAAATCTCTTAACATTAATAAATAAATCCAAATATAATTTAAAGACAAAAATAGGAGTTTTACACAAATAAACAAACAAACAAAAGATTTATCAAGCAGACAAACCATAACTGAAAGGTACCTTTAACCAACTCTTCTTAACTAAATATATACTGTACAATTAAGGGTCAACTAAACAACATAACTAAACTGAAGGGAGAATAAAAACAGAGTCTGATGTGGGAAAAGCTTTCATACCACACACTGACCTCTGAACTCAAGAAACACACAAAACTATAATTCCCAAGACTTGCCTGTGCAACAGTGATTCCAGAGGGTGATGGCAGTGGCTCCTTAGCAGTAACAATAGCAGGGAGCTAAGAGCCTGGGTCACTATTGAAGATCCTGTCTGACTTAGACTGGTTACTGTTGTCGCCTGGCTAACACTCGATGGCATGCTGATGAACAAATGCAAAGAAAATAAAATTTATTTTGATTCCAAATCCTTTGATAACAGTTCTATCAACAATAATTATTGTTCACATAAATCATGATACTACCTGGGGGATTTCAAACTGACAGAAAACCACTGTGCTGCATCATTACAGTGAACATACCTGTATGTCTGGTCTGGGAGAGTAGATGGTGGGAAGAATGGAGGGTTCCCAAAGAGCCCTGGAGTAGGCATCAATGGGTTGGGTACAGGCTGCTGACTGTAGTATCCCATGTAACCACTGTATAATCCAGCTGGTACTACTGCTGCTATAAACAAACATTTTTACTTTTTTTTTTATCTTTTAAACTTGCCATACAAAAACATATTCTTTCATAGCATACTGACAAAATAATTTAATTTCTTTAGTGGATGTTTGTAATGGAGCAGAATCCTTGGTGAAAAATATGGGTAAACTTACCAGCAGGAAGATCTACAGCAACCTGCTCCTCACTGGCCTTTGCTTCAACAACTTCAGTATGCTGAAAGTTATAAATGTAATTAACCAACCTATAAAAGAAAGGAACAACTTTTAATCATGAATACCTAAGAAGCACTTTGAAGAACACCTTTATAGCAATAACTTTGGGTAAAAAAAACAACTTCTTGAGCAGACACTTACCTTTGCATCTGCTTTCATTGCTCGCAATTCTGCAACATCAACTGCTATACTTTGAACTTGAGTCTGAGGGTAAAAGAAACATTATTGAGTCATATGTTGAGAATTGATTCACTTCCTCTGATTCTGGAATTTTTATTTTCACATTGCACTTGGGATGTAAAAATCTATAACAAAAAATACACAAAAATCTATTCTTTGATGAGCACATCATCAATCTTACCTGCAGGTCTTTAATACTTATTTGAACTTGTTTCATTTCATTAAGTACAGCATTATATGCTTCCTGGGAGATACTTTTGTTCTGTTCAAGGATACTGCGGAACAGTGAAGCATTTTCCTTGACTTCTTGTGCCATTGTAGCGCATGTGTCTCTCAGAGCTTCATTTTGGGCTCTAAGTGCTGCATTCTGTTCCTCCATATTCCTCAACGTGTCCTCCATGTTCCTCAGTGTATTCTCCTGAACCTCTGAGATAGCTCTCACTTGTGCATCCAGACGCTCTGGGCTTGGACGGGCCTCCTAAGAAAAATATTGGCAAAAATATTCATATTAATTTCTTGAGAGAGAGAAAGACAGAGAAAGAGTGTGACAAACAGATATAAAGCTATAAAATATATACCAATTATTCTTTAAACATTATATCTCTTCCAATCACCTGTCTTGTTATTCTGCTACTATTTCTGTTGTCCCTGTAGGGTGTACTAAACATCTGTGGAGGCTGAGATGCATTTATCACATGTCCATTAGCCAAGTCAGGTCGAGGTGACTGAGAGGCATCTGAAATGGACTCTGTATCATCCTCTCGCTGAGTGTGGGTATCTTGGTCTACGCTGATGTGTGAAAGACGCCTCTCAACATCCTCCAGCTGCTGACTCAACTTTGTGTTGAGAGGATGAAAACGGTCTACACCTGTGAAAAGATGCAACAATTCTTCAGCTTCAACATAAAACCAATTTTGTATATAGAAAGTGAATGGAATTTTGCCTACTTCCAATTTGAGTCAACTTAACATAAGAAAACAACTTCTTTTACTACTTATAAATCTAACATAAACTGTATATTCTATTGTGTACTACTAGGTACCTGGCATCCGCAATCTGTCAAGAGTGAGATAAAGGGTATCCCTTGCTTGTGTTAACAGAATGGTATGTTGTGAACGCATGTCTGCTGTGGTTTCGACACCACCTTCACCGTTGATTGCTTGGGCCTGTTCTTTATACAACTGAAAATAAGACAGGATTAATATGTATTGCTAATTCTCTCCAATTTACCTTTTTAAATAATCTATATCACAGAAGCAAAATTTACCTACTTTGTCTGTTTAATAAATTATAAACATTGATGAGTTTCATATCAAGTGCATTAATACTGTTAAGCTTTAGTTTTAAATCATAAAAGAATTACAAACAAGTATGATAAAACTTGCAAAAATAAAAAATCAATAATAATATTTAAGCAATAAAAAATCAATAATCGATAAATAAACTTATAGAATAGAAAATAAGAAAATTTTAAAATCACTTACCATTGCCCTTTGGAATGATGCTTCAGGACTTTTCAATTCTCCAAGTGCTTGTATGGCCTCCTGCAGCTTCCCTGCCTGCACTAGTCTCATGGCTAGGAAGTATTTCCCTTCTTCCTCAACCTTGGAGCGTTCCTCTGCACTCAGAGATATGCTAAGAAGAAACAAAGGTTTTAGAATCCTTCTTGAATCATATACAGAATAAAGTTACTATGCAAAACATGTGTAACCTTGCCTAATACTTGTAAAAGAACTTGTTGGAAAGTATTTGAAGCATATTTCCTTACTTTTGTACAACAAATAGTCTATTCCTTGGTGTAACATTTATGACATTCCGTGCAACCCTTTGGCAAAGTGTGAGCACTCGATGCCAGTAATGTTCTGCCCGGTCCTCTAGGGCATCTACTTCACTTGCTGTACTTCCATCCTCCTTGGCTGCTGTTGCCTGTAATGCAAAAAGTGGGTTAGGAAACATTAATGGACACAGACAGGAAGTAAATATATATAAGCATATATGTAAAGAAGTTTACATTATAAAATATATACAACTAATATACATACCCAGGTAGAAAACATTGTGCCAAGTGTGCCATAAGAGCTAAATCTACACCATGGTTGCCAACAGCTCTAATGACCTCCAGACCTCGCTGCAAGATCATACGTAGCTTGCTAAGCCTATGGTGAGCACGGTTGGTAAAGAGTGTGTATGCAGCAGTCCACCATTCTGCTTGTTCTGTTGTATTGAGAACTGATGCAACCACTGTTGGCATGGAGGCTGGAGGAGGACCTGAAGACCAGAAGAATTATCAGAATTATATTTACTATCTCTCTCTCTCTCTATTATATAGATTAAATATCTGGCTGACAAATTCACTGTAATAAAAAGCACTAAATCAAATAATTAATGGAAACAAAACTTGACTTAACAGGATCATTTTAATGAGAGAACAGTTGAATGCCCTCAGTTTAGATACAGTAAGCTTGGTGTCGAGTAATTATATCAAAACAACAGTATTGTTACACAGTCAGTTTCTACTATTTACTATCATAGAATATATATGTATACACTCATATAATTTTCTTTATACTCTATCAAGCAACAAGTCTATATATTAATCTTGTAAAGAAAGAGAACCTGTAAAATGGAATTTAAAAAAGTGTTCTGTAGTGCAAGCCAAAAATTGCTAGCAATTATAGGATATCTTAAAATGTTAACTTAGGCCATGGTCTCACTGGGAACGAGCTGGTTGGAAATTTGTGCTTCTCCTCACTGAATATACTGAGAAAAGCTGTAAAGCTTGGTAAGTACCATTATGGACATATCTATAGGCTGCAGTGTTGAAAAACTTCACTTCAGACAGCTTGTGCCTGCTCATTGCCAACTTCAATGCAGCTTATGGCACAAGATTCTAGGTATAAAGTAATTTTCATCATCCAAGATTGATAAAAAAATAAAGAACTATAGAAAGGAAAAAACAAAATAAATTGAAAGAAAAACTATCAAACTTTACATAATCTATAATTCACTATAATAAGAATAATAAATAATAATACAAAGAAGGAGGAGGAGGAAAAGTAGGAAGAGAAGAATAAGAATAAGTAGAAGAATAATTGCTAACTCACCATTATTCTCTTTTCCAGCTGCAATTTGGCAATACACAGTTGCAGCCAAGAAAGCTAGGAGATCAAGATGGCACAGGGTCTCTGGAGCCCCTGTATTGACATTGGTTGTAGAAAACTGCAGCCCTTCAAACAATGTATATGTGTAGTATGGCTGAGGCTCCTTGCAACTAGTTGGGGCTTGCTGCAGACACAACCAAACCATGTCTCGCAAACTTGAGCAGTACATGGTTCCTACAACTGTTACAGAAAAATAATATAAATTATACTATGAACAACAAAAATGCATACAAAAAATATCTTTTTTACATGCAGTGTAAATATGCGTATATGTGTATTTGTTTTTTATATGTATGTAATGGGTGCATGTGCATGTAAAGTTTTTTTTTTTTTTTTTTTTTTTTAATAAAACATTCTCTTTTACAAGTGTTTTAACATGGAAAGATTCCAGGGATGATATAAGTATTTTGCTACACTTACCATTATCCCAGACTTTTACTTGCTCAGCTTCAGGATATGTCAGGGGCTTTGAAATAAACTGCTCATCACTGAGGAAAAAGCTACCCTCTTTCTTGTTGGCATTAGAAGCCCCAAACAGAGTCAGGTAGATATGCTCCTGAGCTTGCTTATTACTGCACTGCTGTTTCACTTTGTTTAAAACTTATTCTTTTCAGATTCTGTTTTAGCCATATGGTTAAGGACATGAGCAGCCTGAGATAGTCTGTGACAAGTTAATTTGTACCAAAACTGATCTCTTGAACTCCATGACTTTGACTGTGTGGCACTTTCAGATGACCGGTATCTGCAGGCATGAAACAGCAATGCTCCAGCACTGGTACTTGTGTGAGTAAGGCCATCCTGAAAGACAAAATTTCACTTCAACTCACAATATCATGAGAAGATCCAAAGTCTGCAACTATCAACTTGTTTTTTATGAATTTCAAAAATATGAACTTTCCCTTAATCAAAATTCAAAATGTGTTAAATGTTTGAATTGTTACCTTCTTTGCATTTTGTAAAAGGAATATAGCCATATGCAGGTACAACTGGCCCACCATCATCTGACCAAAGAAGAATTTTGATCCACCACTTCTAAACTGGTTCTTCAAATCTTGATCAAACCTATGAAAAGGGAGAAACAAGAGTATTACAATTAATTCCAACATAAGTGCTACCATTGTGACAGCTGTAATTACAAGACAAAAAACACACTTCATAGTAAATGACATATGTAATTAGACTGACTTATGTAGGAGTGCAGCAGCATCTGTGAGGGTACACTGGGACAAGAGTGCAGTACTGCTGCTTGAGGCCAAAGTGAGGTAGACAAGTCGCTCTTGGGCAGACAAATAATTGATGTGGAATTCCTTTTCATTGCTAACATCAACCGATGAGCAGTATTCCTGAAAATTCAGAAATTTTTTGAAACCTTATGCTCTTTTTAATAAAACATGTATCATTGTTCTATTTAATGGATATTCATGCATACATGTAGTTACAAAAAAAATATCGTTAGAAAATCATACTAAACATTCTGAGACATTCAATAATACTTTTGAAAATAGTTGTTAACGCTACAAAACTGTTGGTATCCCTGATTTTCCAACTACTTATAGGTACACAAAGCATATTCTATCCCTTATGGGAATAAAATCATCTCACAGTGAATCCATATGAATTCTGGAATGACTATTCGAGACATGAATCAGAAGGAGAAAAATTTGAAATGCAAAATACCAACCCTTCCGTAACATAAGCTTCTGTTCAACATTGCATGTTTTGACACCCTTTCTTACAATAGTTTTCTGTGTTACTGTACTTATGACATTTCCTCTAACCTTTTTGTACACACTGCTACGATAACTATTCTTTTGAACTAAAGAATATTTCTCACCTGCATGATATCAAAAAGGGTTTTATACCATTCCAGCGATTCTGAAAATGGCTTACGTGCCTCCACCTGACACCCATAATTGTAGGCTTCATTGAGCTTATTTTTGTCTTCAGCTCCCCAGTCTTTATACAACTGTAGGAGATTTGTTTGTAGTCTCACATCCGTTGGATTAGCTTTAATTTCATCTGGCAAGGAGAAAAGAAAAATTTATGGAACCATTTGTCAAAAGCACATGAATAATACCATACTTTATAAATTCAATGACCACTAAATAGGCAGAAGCACTCACCTAGGTATAATTTTTCAAGCTCCTCCCGTGAGTGTGCTCCTGAACCCGTGAGAAGGGCTTCACGTAACTTGACAACACTCTCATTGTGAGGATAGAGCCTATGGCCTTCTTCTGCCCAATACAGACGGACTGAATTGTCACACTGTACTTCTGTATATAACTCACAAACTGAAATATAAAAAAAATCTCCTTAGGATGCAAACAAACCTTAAAGACTGATTAAAAATGTAGAATATAATGCCTATAACAAATGAGGCCGTGTGTGTGTGTGTGTGTGTGTGTGTGTGTGTGTGTGTGTGTGTGTGTGTGTGTGTGTGTGTGTTGTGTGTGTTGTGTGTGTGTGTGTGTATAAATGCATGTGTGCATGTGTTTATAAATGCATGTGTGCATGTGTGTATAAATGCATGTGTGTGCATGTGTGTATAAATGCATGTGTGTGTGTGTGTATAAATGCATGTGTATAAATGCATGTGTGTGCATGTGTGTATAAATGCATGTGTGTGCATGTGTATAAATGCATGTGTGTGCATGTGTGTATAAATGCATGTGTGTGCATGTGTGTATAAATGCATGTGTGCATGTGTGTATAAATACATACGTATGTGTGTGCGTATATATGTATATATCTGTGTAAATATACATAGATATTTTATATATATATATTAACACAGCATCTGGTCCAATATGCATATAGTTATTTATTACCAACTTACTTTTCAAAATGAGGTCCTTTTGGCCACCACCTAATTCATAGGAGGTCTTGTATGATTGAACTGCCTTTTCTTTATTTCCAAGACCTTCATTGATCTGGCCTAATAAACGATGAGCATCTGTTGCTTTAGGGCGCACTGTTAGAAATTCACTCAAGTAACGACGGGCACTCTCGTACTCATTGATGTTAAAGTAGAGGCGGGCAATGTTATAACCCCGGACTTTCCTCTGAAAATAAATAATCAGGGTTTAGAAAAACAACAACATTATTTGTAAGTCTTAAGCAAAACTACTACAATAGCCACATTCTACCAATGCTTAATAATACAAAAGGTACAACATTGTCTCCCTACAAAGGCACACCTGATATCAGTTACCATGGACAACTTCAAATGAATGAGTTCAATTTATGTACAACCAAAATTATATTATAATCCACTGATCCAGAACAAGGCTATGTCAGCCAGAATTAGCTCTTAGAACTATATATATCTTGAATACAATTGACTTGGTATAAATGTTACATATAACCAACCTATTGCAAAAATAATCTATTCATATCTATATAAATATTTCATGATCTGCATCTATCTATATCATCTACTTGTATATATCCAAATGTACAGATGTGAATACTAAGGAATACAAATTGGAGCTACTTTCATAATAACAACACTTATATATATATTGACCTATCCAATGCAAATCATACAATTGAATCCTCTTTTTCTTTCAAATTACAATCTCAAGACAAAACTGGGTTATAGCACCATACAAAATACACAATGAAATTTTCAAACACTTTATAAAGGAATTAAAATGACACAAATCTGCACAAGTAAGGATAATAGCACGACTGCCATAGCCAAAGCCAACAAATTCCAACATATAAAGTTTGCCCTTCTTAATATCATAACTTAACCACATGTCCCTAGAGAAGGTAAACTTGATTAATCTATAATCATACATTTTTTGTTGTTGCCATGCAGTATGTCCAATAAGTTTTTTTTAATTACTAACTGGCACTCAGGAGCCACAACAAATTAAAACATGGTTTGTATTGTCATCAGGGAAGCTTAATTTGTGATGCTGCAACTTAATGCCAACAAAAGATAGGTTGATGGGCAGATGCAAAATGATACTTGGAGAATCTTGCTAACACAAGATCCTCCAAGTGGCTACACCAACTGTCAATTCTATTGACAGTTGGTGTAGATATATAACAGTGGTTACGTTACAAGTTGTTTACCAAACACAACATAGGAATTTCACACTGCAACATACCCTTGAAACGTTTTCATCAACATGAAAATGGATGTGAAAGGGGATTTTAAGATTTAAGATTTAGTTTTAATTCCATTTGTTACAATGGATATTCTTTGCTGTGACATACTGTCTGTTTTATTTTGCCCCAAATCTCCCCGTGTGCAAGGAGTGGCCGCGGTTACCACTCACTGGCCGGGCGTGGGATTGAACGCAGATCCGCAAGATTGCTAGACCAGCACCTTACCGTTGCGCCAGCACAGCAGACGGGGGAGGGTGGGGGGGGGGGGATAATAATAATAATAATAATAATAATAATAAAAAAATAAGGAACGGTTTTCAACTTTAACAAATTCAATTAAGTCTCTTTACTTTTATTTTATCTATTTATTTTAACTATTAATTTTTGCTATTTCAAGGAATTAGTTATTATGGTAAATCTATTTTCTTTAATTTTCAAAAATGGTTAACTACAACTATCTCTTACCAAATTTCCATTTTTCATGCTTTCTATTTAGTGGCACATTTAAAGACTATCAAGACAGTATTTAAGTACTTTTTATCTTTTAGACATTCGACTAACTTAAAGTGACATGTGTTCTCCCATCAGGCACCAGGCCCATAAGCCTATCATGAGATGCAAACATCAATGCCATGCAAAGTTATGCCTGCTAAATATATATAGCCGTGTATGCATAAAACAGTTATGTTCACTTGTTTGACCCCACTGCAAACATGGATAAGTTGATCATTTTAAAGTATACATAGCGTTTCTTTTTTGACTTGTTTAAAAAGTCATGTCTGCCAAAGCCAATACCATACAAAGCATGGAAAATGTATCTTTGATGTTCTTCTAAATTTGCCCTCAAGAGAATCTGACTGGGTTCAATCACAGGAAAGGAAAACTGGTAACTCATCCCTGACACTAGAGTACTCAAGTGGTGAAGACAGCAAATTTCAGTAAAAATGATATAAAACATTCTTATATAACTTTCGAAAACATGACACATGCAAAATAGATATTTAATGTCAGCTGATTAGAATAAAAGGAGATGTGGCAAATCAAGGTACTCCAGAATCTGCAGCGAGTTGCCAAATTCAATGCACGATATGGACTTACTTAGTTTTGTATGGGTAAATATCATTGTAATGGGTTAATTGGCCGTAGTTCTTTATTAAGATTGACTTTAAAATAACCCATTAATCCAAGTCATTACTTTTTAGCCACCTTAAATATCTTGATGCAGTATAAATTTACATAAATGCAGAAACAACAAAATCTACTGTCCTTGTTTATTCTTCTGATTACATATCAATTACAAACCAGCAGGTCTATCACTGATTTTCACAAAACAACAGTGCCACTGAAATAAATCTCAATTATATATATTTTAATAAGATGGATTTTTCAGACACCTAAGATAATTTATCACCAAATAAGGATCTACTCTATCTCCATCTTCCTAGAATATATAATGGAATTTGTTGGTAAATTAAATAAATTAAAAATTCAGGCTTTCTCTTGTAGACAAGTTTTGACGGGTCCTTATGAGATGAAAAACTGCCTAGTCTAAAAAGTATTATCTTGCCAGAATATATATTGAGTTTTGTTAGGTGTTTGCTAAGAAAAGGATCAAAAGAATTTTTTTACTAGCAATGGCAATTAAGTTTTCCTCCTTTAAATATATTTTGTAAGGCAAAATCTGGGATTATTTTATATTAGGTAGGACTCCAAGCTGTTTTGTAACCAGATTACATAATGGTTTGCTTGCCTTTGGTTAAGTGATTGGGCCACAGCATCACTAAAATGCAAGCATAAATAAGTTGTCTTTGATAAATGACTGTGGCCTTAACTTCACTTTTCCACTATTTTATTTACTCGTAGCATTAATCTTAAAAACAAGGCCGAGGCTAAGCATGCGTGCTACCTGTATCTGATTTCATGCAGTTAGGTGTATACATGTGTAAGCACATATTCACATCTCTAGGTAATACGTATCAAACCTAACCTAACCTAAGAGTGGCTTCATCATCTCGTGACAAGGCACAACTATCTTATTTGTTTCACTACACATGTAAAAGATACCACTCAGAGGCTTTTCTGCTATACTAGTAGTTACTTCGTTAAAACAATTATCATACAAATTATCAAAGTAGTTTCAGGTGTGCTTTATAGCCATTACCTTTTTTTTTTTTTTTTTTACCCTAATCTAGTCCTGTTCTGAGCATTTGCCTTTTCCTTGCCTAATATAATTTACAATTTCCTTGTTGTAGCTCATGCCACTACTCAAACAAACCTATCTGAAGCAGGCACATAAACAAAGGAAAATAGCAATTTTGACTGGCTACTCCCTCTGCAGATAACACTGTCAACAGAGTCAGCACCACCTGTTGAAGCCTCTCACTCAGCTCTTTCGGCAAATTAATGATAAAACCGTACATGAAGCAAGTAGAAAGGGGGGAGAAGACAAAGAAACTGAAATCCTAGATCTACCAACTCTGGCCCCCAATCTCTTCGCTTTACTTCCTAGAGTAAAACTGCAGATGAAAATGGCATTGTGACTTTCGTAGATACAAAATAAACTAATCAAAATTGTTGTAAATCTTATTAATTACCTTTATTCCCTCATCTTTGTCACATATTACATGAAGTTACGTTATGCCCCACCGTCCCTATACCTTCTCTGTATTTCCAAACTAATCCTTATTTTGAGTATCTAGCGTCTATTCGTCATAAAAACCCCTTCCCCTAGCAAAAATCCACCATCCCCCGAGACTCCCGCGCCTAAAACAATCTCCCAAAACCCGAAAAATCCCCGAGCGAACCCTGCAGGAGCCTCAGGACCCTTCCCAACGTGCGCCAACACCGGTATTCGTCACTTACCTCGTCCTCGTTCTTGATTTTATTCAAAATATCTCGCACGTGGCGGTCTACATCCTTTTTGGAACGCAGCATTGTCCACTGGTCATAATAACTTTGAACCTGAACTGTAAAAGCGATAAAATACAAAAAATTGTGTCTCGCGCAACGTTAAGATCAATCTTGTGAAGGAAACTGCGAGACAAGAACAAAGTGAATTCTCCAAAGTGTGACTTACTATATTTTACATTAATCGAAGGTCAGTAGGCATTATTTTTTGTTTGAATAATTTTATTATGATTATAGAAAGTGTCCTATTTTTTTAATATTCGATTTAAGTTTGTACGAGGGAATTTTTTTGAAAACTACGGTTAAGAAATGCAATGGCGGCGATGATTTAAAAAATACGCGAAAATCCCACACGGTTCTTACGTTGCTCAAGGTTTTCTTCGAATGCTTCACAAATATCTAAAAGCTGACATTACTGGATATCAAGTGATGCTAACTTTTGCGTCGATTAACTCAAATTAAGATTTCATGTTGACGAAAAATTTCACACAACAGAAAACGAAAATCCTGTTTGAGGATTCACTCAAGAAAATAGTAACCATAATAAAATAACTTACAGATTATAATTTGTTAAAGTTAACTGCTTGAAACCTATTATTTATTGCAATGAAATTGTTGCATAATATCCGAACCTATTTTGAAAATTCAACGTTAAGTTCATGACTTCATCTTTTTTTTTACTCCTACACCTACACCTGTCATGTTTGTTGTTTCTTCCTCATCATTTACTATTTCGAGAGATCGCAATGACTTCAAGAATAATTGGAATATCTAGTCAATATTAAATGCTTTCATTTTCTCCGTTCTTTGTTTAAATATTGTTTAAATTAAATTAAAAGGGGTTTTCTTTTAGGGTATTTTTTTCGCAGCGTATGAGCCATGCCCAGAGAAATCAGTAGTGGCCAACGTGTATCTCATGTGAGACAAGTACTACGATATTGAAACAGGCATCTTATAGTTTCTATCAATCTAACATGAGAGAGAGAGAGAGAGAGAGAGAG